GGGGGGGGGGGGGGGGGGCTACATTAACTCAGAGGCCAGAGCTCTTCAAAGAGCATCCCACCTCCAACGACGTATGTGGAATACACTTGGGTTCTGTTTCCACATCAAAAAGACCAAACAGAAATAAAAAGCAGGAGAGGACTGGTTTCCAGGCAGAGCTGCAGTCTTCTGTGAGTGAGTTAGTGTAAAAATAAATATGCAAATGCACAAGAGTCTGTTTCTTGTTTGGGTGATTGTTTGAGTTGAAGCACGGAGGTGAACACGCTCCATCCATCCTCTGGGCTCGAGCAGCAACAGGAGAGCTGACTGGGAACACTCCAAGGACATACTGCCCCCTCTTGGACAGTATTAGATCATAAAAGGTAATTTCATCAAGATGAGGCTCACTGTTTGTAATCCTTCCTCTGTTTTTCTACTAAAGCAGAAAGTCTCATCTCAGTGACTCATAATCCAAGATTTGTAACCGTAGAAGCTCAGGAAAATGGCACCTCCTCCATTTCTTCTTTCCTGCATGAAATAACAAGCAGTATCTAACCAGGGTCTGGAGCAAATGTTTGCTCCAAAAGAGAAAATTGACCTCAGAGCCAATCTGCAATTTCACAAGATGTTTGTCTCAGAGTAAGGACTCTCAGCTACTACCACATCAAATGTTAGCTCAGTATCTGTAAACCTGACTTAGCCTTTTGGTACTTTTAGATAGCATTTTTGTGCTTTTAGCTTTTGTTACTGTTTTGCTATTTTTAACATTTCCATTCCTTTTTGCTACTTTTGCTTTTAGTTAGCCTTGTGCTACTTTTAGCTTGTTTTGCTACTTTAAATTTTAGTTAGCAGTTTTATACTTTTAGCTAACCATTTGCTACTTTTAGGTTTAATTTAGTCTTTTGTTACTTTTAGCTACCTTTTGGCTACTTTTCACTAACCTTTTGCTAATTTAGCTAACATTTTAATGCTTTTAGGTTTAATTTAGCCTTTTGTTACTTTTAGCTACCTTTTGGCTACTTTTCGCTAAGACTTTTGCTAAGTTTAGCAAGTATTTTGCCAAGTTTAGCTAACATTTAGCTACTTTTAGGTTTAATTTAGCCTTTTGTTACTTTTAGCTACCTTTTGTCTATTTTTCACTAACTTTTTGCTAATTTTAGCTAACATTTAGCTGCTTTTAGCTATTCTTTTGCTATATTTAGCTTTAAAGTAGTATTAGCTTCAACAACTGGTTGTGATGCATTTTTTCTTGTTTGAAACAGATTTTATTATAGCAGACAAAAGCCTAAATTTGTGCATAAACGCAGCTTTAGAAACAAAGGTGCGCACAATGTTTTATGGAATTAGAAAACGACCCAACTTCAGTCAGACAGGTTGAGATCATTCCAGGGTCGAGGCTCTCACCTCAGCGTGCAGCATTTCTCTTTGTTACAATGTTTGCCCTGTCCCTTTGCAGAGTGTCACTCTGAGGGATTTTTAGCTCTTTTTTCCTGCTCCGAACCACAGACGGATGTATTCTTTGTTCAAACAAATTATTCTCTCTCCTCAGCAAATATCTGGCAGCAGAGCTGAGGTTAATGACAAACCGTGTACAGAAAGTTGGACACGCTCCAATCAGCAGCGACCACGCAGATAAAACACAACAAGCCAGGATGATCTGAAACATGCTCCTGAATTCCTAAAGGAAATATACATAATGAAATATTTTACTGGATGTGATCTCTGCTGCCTGGCTCAGTTAGTTTAAAAAAAGCTGAGGCCCTGGAGCATTCTGGGAGTAAAACTTCAGTAAAATAGTTTTTAATTAAATTTTATTGTTATTATGAACTAATCCAGACCTCTGAGGGCTTCTTTCTCTGCATTGTTATTCTGCTTTTGTTCCCTGTATAAGATAACTTCATATTTTTTCACTTATTTAACTTTAGACAACTACAATTTTTTTATATTCAAGCTTAAGGTCACAAATAAGCACCCTAATGGCCAATTATTATCAACATTCACCTGTATTGCATACACAGGCTAACAGAAAGTTTTAGACTGAAAACAGGTTGTGTTTAAACCCACAAATGGGTTGTCAAGTCTTGATTTATGATGCAATATATCTATAGAAAAACTCATATTTGTTCATCAAATTACATTGAAAACGATACAGTTGCAAGAATATCAGTATATAAAACTATATTGTGACCAAAATGGAAAAAAAATAATGTAGATGGTCAGGGAGGACTCGGATTGAGTTTACTTGTTTGCTCTTTGACCTCTTACAGGCAACATGTGGCTACAGAGAGTCGGAGCGAAGCAGCCTTTAAATGATGTCTGATGATGCTCAGTGTCCGGAGAAATGCTGCAGCTTGTCATAGTTGCAGGAATTAATGTGTATAAATGAACTCAGTCACAAGCCATTAAGCCTCCCATGGTCTTTTGTAAATGGGCCCTTCCTTGCTTCATCATATTTCTTTCCATAAAATCCAATCTGAGCTGTGTGAGCCTCGACAAAATGGCCTGTGGCGCTTCTAATAACCTTGTCAGCTTTATTACATTTATTGCCGGCTTTCATCAAATGAGCGACGTGCTTATTCCTTGATGTGATTACAAAGTGCTGCAGAGATGAGGGCCAGTGTATAATGTTTTCTAAAAATCAGATAGGCTTCCTCACTTATTTTAGCTGAGCGGTGCTTCTTGTCTTTCCTTCCCTCCCGAGTGTTTTTAAAACATGCCACTCAACAAATAAGAGTTTTCACATTATTTGAGGTGAATTTCACCAGTCCTTTTGACTCAGGAGCTAATTTCTTTGGAGAATGGCTCAGAGGAAAGTGCCCATTGATGAGGAGAATAATAAGATTTAGCTAGTGCTCCACTTGGTATTCAGTTTAATAAACCTCTCCAATCAGTATGCAGGAGGGCTGTTACAGGAGGACAAGCTGTCTGTGAGAGTATTTTTCACCCTTTCCTAATTATTTGTCATTTTATTTTCTCTGGGGTCATGCATATTGTAATAGCCCTCTAAACACACCTCGAGTTACGTCAGAAAGCTCAGCCCTGCCGTGTTGTGCTTTAGTCTCCCTGCAGGAACAATGTATGATGATAATGAGCTCTCTGAGCTCTGGGCAGGTGTTTTAATGCTTCAGCACTGAAAAAAAAAAAACGAGCATCCAATTTTTTATGCTCTTCTTACAGGAATGAAGCAACCAAACCCTCCTGTTCTCTAACAAATACCTTTTTTAATTGTAAAAGCAAAGGGAACAGTCATGTTTATGCTTGTGTCTAGGTGTGTGTTTGTGTGTGTGTTTGTTAGCAAAATACCTCATGAGCTGCTGGTCAAATTGTGCATACTTTTTTGGAAAGCAATCAATGAATGTACATTTTCAACTGATTTGCATTTGGAGTCACCCAATTCAAGATGGCTGCCAAAGCCAAACGGTCTTAGAGTACACAAGAAAGGTTACAATTCAATTAATATGACAGATACTGAGCTGATGTTTGGTGTGTTTATAGATGGGAGACATTCAATACTCTAAGAGCTACTTGTTGGGCTTAAAACTGTAGCATTAACTGTTGGAGTCAACCCTGTTTGTCTGTTAGCAAAATATCCCATGAACCATAAGAAAAACTTAAATGAAACTTTTGTAAAATAACCATTGAATCAGTCTAATTTAAGATGGCCGCCACAGCTAATTCACCTTAGCCATCACAAAAAGACAACTTAAAAGCTAACTAAAAACTAAAAAATATCAAATAAATAGAAGCTAAATGCAGCCCAATTGCAGCAAATGTCAAAAGTAGCAAAACACTAGCTAAAAGTAATTAAAAGGTTAGGTTGAAGTAGCAGAATAGCTAAAAGCTATGGCAAAAACCAGAACAACAGCTGAAAACTGCTTTATGTTGAAGCAGATCTCAAAGAGAGTTTTTGAAGGATTTTGAAGAGAACCAATGTATTTTGATGTGGGAAATATTTGTAAATAGTTTAATATTTAAAAGAAGTATAAAAACGAATAAAAAGTTGTGGCACCTGTCCCATGAATGAGCTGAAATAAAATAGTACACAGTCTGCAGAAGTTGTTAGCAAACAAACAAACAAAAGTGTTAAAACTAAATCTAAAAAACAAGTTTTGTTTTGACATCTCCTCTGCCTCCAGAGGAAAATGCTCGATCTTTCAGACATTACATCTCAGACGAGCAGAATGCAGAAACAAGGCGTGTCTCCTTTTCAAATTAACTTTGACAACTTTTTTTTATCTACACGGCACCATCTTCTCTCCATCAGCAGCAGCTCCTGAGCTGCAGAGCCATCAGATCCCTGTTGGACTTCATGAGGAGCAGCGGTGCTGAAGCTGCTTGTTACCAGCTCTGACTGCAGGATGAGGAGCACACACCGTGACACACTCTCTAAGCTGCTCCTGTCAACCTCCAGCCGAAGTCGTCAGCACAAACCAGACATGGCAGCAGTAGTGACAAATGAAACAGAGATTTGTTGTTCGGGGTGCTGGATGAGGAGGCTTACCAGCTCTCTGCGTGGAAAAGAAAAATTGAGGAGCCGTCGTCTGCAAAACAGGAGGAAGGTTCGAGCCTGATGGCTCTGAACGTTACCGAAGAACTTGTTTGTCTAAATATCTCAAGAACCACTGGATGGATTAACGTTTGGAGTCAGTTCAAATCAAGATGCTACAACAGCTGATCAACATTAACAAACAAACCTATAACTCAAATTTACAGATTTTGAACTCAAACATGGAGGTAGCTGAGAGTCATCCCCACCTGACACTCGCATGGGCCTTTAACCTGACTGGTTCTAGCGGTGTCCAGTTACCTCCCAGCAGGTGTTTTCAGGAGGCAGACCGTATGTGACGTCACTGTGACGTGGAGGGTTGAGGCGCTGTCCCAGGTGCTGAATCCTGATCAGTCTTCAGGTGTGAAGCCGCTTCAGGCTTTAGATGAAGACGGAACTGTCTCTTCTGGACTTCTTTAGTGTGTGAAACAAACTTTTCTCCCCTCCGCTCCTCCTCCTCCTCCTCTCCAGCATCATGGACCTCCTTCCCGCCCAGGAGGCCGCCAAAATCTACCACACCAACTACGTGAGGAACTCCCGCGCCATTGGCGTCATGTGGGCCGTGTTCACCATCTGCTTCGCCATCATCACGGTGGTGGTGTTCATCCAGCCCTACTGGATCGGGGACAGTGTGAACACCCCGCAGGCGGGCTACTTCGGCCTCTTCCACTACTGCATAGGGAACGCGCTCACCTCGGAGCTCACGTGCAAGGGCAGCGTGTTCGACTTCAACTCCATCCCCTCCCCCGCCTTCAGGACCGCTATGTTCTTCGTGGGCACCGCCATGCTGCTGGTGGTGGGCACCATGGTGGGCTTCAGCATGTTCTTCTTCTGCAACGCGGGCAACGTGTACAAGATCTGCGCGTGGATGCAGCTGGCCGCGGGTCAGGGGCTTCATTCTGGACCAGTTCTTAAATAATCCTTTATTAAACATGTGATGGTTGTAGTTAGTCACAAATGATCAAGCTGGATATTGAACAGGGTTGAAACTGGAAAGATTAGTTGAATGCATATCGCCCGCCGCCTTTAATTTTATTGTTTGACACTATGTGAAGACAATACATATGGATGTCCCGCTCAAAATATGTGCTGTGAAGGACTCTCAGCTACTACCACATAAAATATTAGCTCTGAAGTTCAGCTGTTTTTGTGTTTTTCTTAAGATCAGCTGTAGCGGCCATCTTGAGTTAAAAGTTAATCAGCTGTAAATATAGGCTAAATCAAATGATCACTTTCTGCAAGATCAATTAAAATTTGTTGAGTGGCTCATGCGATATTTTGCTAACAAGCTCACACAGAAGTGGGCAAAAGCAATATTGTCCACTTTTGCCTTTCATTGGGGATAATTATATTTTAAATATATCAGCAGTGGTTTGTAAAGAATTCTTATGAATTGTAATATTCTGATGGTTTTGATGATACAAAGCAGAAATGCATTCATAATTTTCAGCACATTGTCGAGGATGAACTTAAAGGTCACATCTATTGAAAAATGTTGCTGCTTGTCCATTTCTGAGATGCTAAAGTGAGCGTGAGCTGCTTCAGGTGTTTTTTTAATGTGATGTGTGATCTAACTGGAGGAAGTCATGGTGGGATCAGGTGTCAGCACACCGTCTGACACCTCCGATGGAGGATCGCTTACATGAAACATGATCAGGTGTCAGGGAGCTGGTAAACTAACCAGCCAAGCCAAAGATCTGGGTTTAACATTCAGGAGCTTGTATAGCAGCACCTCATCCAGCTGGGCAGCAGTCATCTGAATCATAAATATGAATAAAATGTGAGGAAAATATGAAAGGGAGAAAAGAAAAATGCTAATTAACACAACTAAAAATCAAAATAACTTGCATGGAAGCAAAATAATTAAAAATAAGTGTGCAGGGACTGAACTCGGGTCTCCTGTAGTTTAGAGCTTTCTGCATCATGCAGGGCTCAAATAAACTCACATGAAAGACTTTGAAACTGTTTTAAATGCACTTGATGCAACCAGGGCTCAAATCTGCAAGACCGCAGCACTGACCGCCGAGCTACTGCTGCCCCTGATCCTTAGGGAAAATTACTGCTTTTTGATTATTATTAAAGATTTTATGGACCAGATGCAATGAGCTTCCAACAGATGTGGCCCACAGCCCACCAGTTGGTGATCACTGCTATAGGAGATGCATCACGACTGGTTTTAAGATGTACAGAGGTTTGATGGGTGTAATTAAAGGATATGCTAATTATGTTGCATTAAGGCGGGAACAGTTTTCCAATGATTTTTCATAAACTTGTCAGTTAACAGGGCTGTGTAAAGATTTATATCCACCTCCTCCACTGGAAGAGCTTCCTCTGGAATTATTTCTGATCTTTGAAGTGCACAAGAGAACTCATTCAGTGTCTGCGTCCGTCCTTCTGCAGGCGTGTTGATGGGGATGGGCTGCATGATCTACCCGGACGGCTGGGACTCCACCCAGGTGAAGACGATGTGTGGTCAGAGGACGGACAAGTACAGCCTGGGGAACTGCACCGTGCGCTGGGCCTACATCCTGGCCATCATCAGCATCCTGGACTCTGTCCTCCTCGCTCTACTGTCCTTCACCCTTGGCAACCGGCAGGACAGTCTGCTGCCAGAGGACTTCCAGATTGAGGGAGCAGGTGAGGGAGCAGCTTTTCATTTCGTTGAACCGTGTTAGGATTATGTCGGATGTAGATGTGACAGTCAGCAAATGTTTCCCTCGTGCTTTTCCAGGACATAACTTTGAAGAGAACGAAAACGTTTTCATTTTTTAACATTTACAACAATCTGATCATTCCTTTTACTTCCGACAATTCAGGCTAACTCTGTCATTTAAACAACTGTTGAGCTAAAGTCTGTGTGGTAGTAGCTGAGAGTCACCTCCATGATATTCTCTGACCGCAAACACAGCTCACAAGATTTCATAAAATCGCACGACATCACACATAAGGTCACTTACAGGCTTTGACCAAAACATTTAAAAGTATTTTAGATTAAATACCACTGAATTTCCCAGCATCGACCACTTTATGCATATTTTTCATTATCTCCACAGAAATGTAACTGAATCAATTTATAATAAAGCACAACTCATCAATGAATAACCATGAACAATCAGCACATAATTTTAGATATATTGTTGCCACGAATTAGACTAAACGAGTTTTACAACTAACTTCTATTAATTGCAGTTGTTTATAAAAACCTGATTCAAAACCAGACAATTCACTGCTTAGCATTCTTTGTAGGATTGCATATCACCCACCACTGTTTATGCCCAAGACCTATGGTTGATAGGTAGAGGGGCAGTTGAACAATCTCCTGCGATAATAGATCACTCTTTATTAATGACTCTCAGCTTCCAACACACTAAACTTTGATTATTTTGAGTTAACATCCTTCCCTGGGATCATGGGACATTTAGCAAATGCTTCACACACAAAAACATGATCACCACTTTGCCTTCAGAAGGGGGCAATCACTTATGATTGGATGTTTGCTGCTCCACATTTTTGCAGGCAGCTGAAATGTGGAGCAACAAACTACACTGAAGCTACACTGCCTGGCCCCCGCAAAAAAGTCGCCACCAAAAAAAAGGTCACACTAAAATTTTGTTGGACCGCCTTTAGCTTCGATTACAGCATGCATTTGCTGTGGCGTTGTTTCGCTTCTGCAATGTCACAAGATCTTTTTCCATCCAGTGTTGCATTCATTTTTTTTACCAAGATCTTGCATTGATGACTCGGCACCAGGCATGATGGATGCATCACTTCACCTGCCTCTCTTCTTACCCTGATGCGCCCATCACTGTGGAACAGAGTAAATCTGGACTCATCAGACCACATGACCTTCTTCCATTGCTCCAGAGTCCAATCTTTATGCTTCCTAGCAAATTGAAGCCTTTTTTCCAGTTAGCTTCACTGATTAGTGGTTTTCTTAAGGATACACGGCTGTTCAGTCCCAGTCCCTTGAGTTCCTTCACATTGTGCGTGTGGAAATGCTCTTACTTTCACCATTAAACATAGCCCCGAGTGCTACTGTTCTTTTTCTTCCATCCAAGTTCACCAAACGTTTAAGTGATCGCCGAGCACGATCATTCAGGGGTTTTTTCCGGTCACATTTCTTCCTAGAAGACGATGGGTCCCCACTATCCTTCCAGTTTTTAATAATGTGTTGGACAGTTCTTAACGCAGTTTTAGTAGTTTCTACAAACGTTTCCTCAGCTTGATGCCAATGATTTGATCCTTCTCAAACAGACTGACATCTTTTCCACAACCAAGCATCGTCTTTCATCATTGTTTAAGAAATGAGAAGTAACTCGTTACATCAGTTGGGGTTAAATAACTTGTTGCCAGCTGAAAGATAATCGTCCATGCAGTAATTGTCCAATAGGAGGCTCGTACCCATTTGCTTAGTTAAATCAGGTGGCAACTCTTTTTTTTTTTTTGGCCAGGCAGTGTATTTCTCATTTTATTTTTGTACTGATTTAACAGTCGAACAGAAGCTGTTAAAAGTCATAATGTCCAGAAAAATAGTTTTAACTGCTCATTTTTGTCCTCTTCCCCCAGAAAACTGATGAACACATGGACTTCCAACAGCCCAGCTTCACGAAGACGCAGCACCAATTTAAGCGATTGAAAATTTTCCACATTTTCCCAAAGTTTGATTATTTTTATCTTCTCACAAGCAGCTTTCTCCATGTGTCTCTAAATAAATGAACTCAGCCATGATCATGTACTGAATGATCTGTTTTATTGTATGGTGTCGTACAGGTCTTTAATCGTTACCCCACACAATGTCTACCTTTTTTTTATTTTTTCCTTCAATGTGACACTAATGCAAAGTTTTGTTTTCATCTTTAGGTCTGGACAGACAACATAGCTTACTTTAATATGATCAGTTTGGTACACCATTATATTAACATCAGATCTCACCAACTCTATGGTTAAAAACAGACATTATTATTATTGAACAGGTGGCCGTACATACAACTGAGCTCAAACATCTTTCATACGCTTTATTAAAACACAGCTAACCCAGCTAATTTTTTTTTAATTTTAGCTAAGATATAAGATTTGTTAAAAACTGTACATACCTGTAATATACATAAAGGCAAATTCTTTGGTACAGATATATACAGTTTATTTTTTTCTCCTTCCAGTTGGGCTTAACATTTTGTCTCGTTGAAACCTTTTACTACTACATACCTGAATTGAAATAGGTGTATGAGAATGCCAGCCTCCCATGAAATATCTCATTTATTATTAACAAACCCACTAAATACCAGGTGACGACGGGTTTGTTAGCCTAAATATGACCTACTTCGTGACCGTGTCAGTACAACTCTAGAGAGAAATGCTATGGGTTACCAGTCAGTGTAAATGTCAGCCCAGTGTGCAACTTCCTAAGCCTACGTTACAAGTACAAAACACCACATGTGTGATATGAAATAATGCATAAAAAGAAACAATACTAGTGAAAATATTGGTGGAAAAAGTGTCTTTTTAAGGGGACGAAAATTAAGAGGCTACATATATCCTTGAATTGTTGTAGTTTTAGTGCAGGAGTGTAACAAACAAGGATGAGTCTCCAGCAGCTAAGTGACAAGTTTCCTTTTGGGGGTGACGAGAGAACAGCAGCTGGACATGACCACAAATTATACAAATCCACTGGATTTCTGATGTCATTACACCGAGGGAAGAACAAGTAAACCGAAAGCAAATGTACACAGAAGCAACAGCTCAATAAATGGAACATAAACAAGAAACAAAAAGAAATAAATATTAATCTGATATGCCCAAAATGGAAAAGTGATCTGTTGCAGTCTTGAGGAAATGAGGGAAGGGGGGAGGTGCAATGGCGGAAGGTGTCCACTAGAGGGAGAGCCAGGGGTGGCGCAAGCACTCCGCAGCAGTGGCTCTTTTCTCAGGAACCAGCTCCAGCATGGGAAGGAGGAAGTCGGTGAAGCACTCCGCCTCTTCGCGGGACCACTCGTACTTCTCCACCAGCACCTCTAGCAAGCCCCACGGCTTCAGCTTGGTGATGTGTTTCAAATCACCTGCAACACAAACCAAACATACAATCCTGCCTCAGAGCCACACAGGAGATAACACAAAACATGGCATTCATGCTATTATTATTATTATACTAATTTTACATTTACCTGCTTCTAAAATGATGTAACCGTTATAATTATCCAACCTAAGCATTAGCATTTGAGCTGGCAAAAATCTCTAGTCTTGACTTCTGTTTTTACCTTTCTTGGTGAAAAAATCCTTGGAATATTTGCCGTTCATTATGAGTTTGCGTGGGACACTCCCCAGCAGCTCAATGATCAGCGCTATGTGGTCTACACAGCAGTGGGTTGCAGGGAAAAGAAGACAACATATTGATCAGACCGTGACCCAGACACAGGCCCACTCTGGGTGTTTGGATGGAAGGATAAAGGTGGAGCTGACAGCACATAGTTGTAGACAGAAACTTTATAAACAGAACCAGACATAAGAACTCTTTCCTGCTCTGAATAAAGAGTTAGAAGGCACAATTTTAACAGCAACCAACGAGGCACAAGACTGTCTTATTAGTGGTGAGCTATTTGAAGAGCTAGGGGAATACGTCATTTTCAACAAAAAGTTTCTTCACTCACAGCAGAGTGATCAGTTTTTCCTAATCAAAGCTCATGTGGCATCAATTGTTCCTCTTTCATCTCCCCTCCAAATTTGTAGTATAGTCAATTTTTACATGTCAGTATGCAAGTTTTAGCAAAACTATCAGCCTTGGAAAACAGTTTTAATTCATAAGACTGAATCATTGTCACCCGTCGCCAAAGACAAAAAGCAATGTATCTGCCTGTGTGTGTATTTGTTTGTATGTAGCAACTAGTGGTCCTTAAAAATATGAATCGCTGGACAAATTGTGGTGGCAGGAAGGGTGTAGTGCTGTGGTAGGGCAGCCGACTCAGGACAGGTCTTAATGCTCATACGATGTGTTGTTCTTGAGAAAGACACCCACTTCCTACCAGCTCCCCAGGCACTTAACCAGCTGCTCCACTCGGGTGTAGCTTGTGTGTGATGGGTTAAATGTACTGGAAGAACAAGAAAACCTTGAACATTTGGGGTCAAACCATTTCAAGACGATCATCACAACTAATCAACAAAAGGTCAACACAAAAAAGCTATAACTCAGTTAATTTTACGGATACTGGCCTACAATTTTGATCTGGTAGTAGCTGAGAGTCATTCACAACAACGCCTGAGTGCGTTATCTCACAATACTGCATGAGACTGAGCAAACCATTATTTTAAAGGTTTGCCCAAAGTACTCATCATTTCTCATCATAAGATGATCTTAGTTTAAAATTATGGGATGAAAGGCCGCAGACCTTCCTTCAATGAATGCTAACCTTTAATTAAAAACAATTTATTTATTTTTGTAGCATATTTACAAAAGATAACTTTTATTACAAATGAAGGTGAAAAAGATTTGTTGGATAATTAGTAATGTCTGCATTCTACAACCTGAGATAATCAGTCACGAGTCTGACATTCATTTTGCAGGTCAGAGGCTAAGAAGTTGGGAAGACTACTGTCAGACTGCCAAATACATTGGAATAATCGTTTTTTAATTAATTCATTTGTAAAATGCTATATTTTTGGTAAATTATTTGTTACCTTTAACTTCTATGGAGCAAAAAGATCACGAGTCACCTTAAAAAGGATCAAAAAAGTTTAAAGCACAACCCAAACCATCTGGAAACATCTAAAGATCATGAGCCTTCCACAGAGTTTTGGCACTACAGACACCTAAATCAATGTCTGTATTTTAAACAGAGCCATCAGCCATCACGCTGTCAGGATCCTTCATCCTCCCATCCACCTCTCCCAGGGTGAGCCACACACAGAGGGGTGGCATACCTCTCTTATTGAAGTATTCCTGAGAGTATTTCCCACACAGCGCATAGTGGCGAGGAATTTTGCCAAGCAACTCAATCACGAGAGCAAGATGGTCTGGAAATGAGGCACATCACAGGAAGAAGGAAGAGACAGGAAGCAACAAGGAAACAGTTTGGAGAGGAGATGAGATAAGGGTGGTGCAACAAATCTTATTAGAAACAATGGATGATGATAGTCTTATATGATGTGAAGCAAAGTTATGAAAAGCCAGTTTATATTTAGAATGTCAAAAACTATTCTATTAGATAAGTACAGGTCATAAAATTTTAGATAAGGTAAAGGAAAAATGGCTCCAACACAGCATTCAAAAGCGTTACATGTCCTATTCTGAGATAAGCTGTAGTAAACGTGTCAGACAACAGATGAAGCGGCAATCTAAAAACACGAGCACATGAATGAGGTAATGTTCTGTTTAAAAAAGACCAATTCACAGCTGCCTGAAGCCTGCACATAAGTACATACCTGATGTACGAGCAGAATCAAATCAGTACACAATGTTTAAGCAAAGCAGCACGCTGACATTTACGTTAGGACCAAGACATGAGAGGAAACATGGAGTTAGCGATGAGGACATGAGGAAAGACCAGTGAGGAAGTGAAAAGATGGCCCCATTTCCAGGGAAGTAAAAAAGTGATTTGATGTGTTAGGAAATAAACCCAGGAATGTTTGCACGATACATCACAGGATTAAGAAACATTCTTTTTAAATTAGAGACCATCTGAAATCACTGTAATGACCTGCCTCATTTAAAGGTTAATACTGTGAACATCTATGTACAGTGCAGAGCTACTGTTGAAGCTGCACAATAGTGACACAGTGAACAGGTGAAATAAGTTAATTCACAAAAATAAAAACAAACGCACACCAAATAAACACAGTGAAAGTTTTAACAGAAGCAATTATTATTAAAAGTCCATTACTAAGACTAAATATCTCTTGAGTGAAGCACACATTTCAAGTGCAGCCAAATGTAGCAACTACCAACAATCCTGTGTAAACGAACAAATCAAAAAGCAGAGGGACAGGAAGAAAATGAGCCAACAATACCTTCATCCCTGGAATAATCTTCTCCAGAATGTGGCTCAAACAAGTAGTCACCAGTAGAGAGTTCAAAGGCCTTTAGAAAAAACAATCTACATCAGGACAGACATCAAACTATATGCAAGTAAAGCAGTCCAACCGCTGGTAATGTTAAACAGTTTTTTCTAAGTTTGCTGGAATGCAATATTTTAAAGAAAGTGACAATGGTACTAATAAATCCATGTTGAAGCATTTGTTAAAAATTAATTGGGTCAAACTCATAAAATACACACTACGCTGAAACTCTTCCTGCGGCTTCATTGCATTGTAAATATTTGGACTACAGCTGAGCACAAGAACACATTTTAGATAAAATTTATGAAAGGTTCATGACATTATGGGCATTTTACAAAATCATTACTCCCATCTAGAGACTTGCGTCTACACTGCCTGAAATTCTCCACCAGTCACATTGTGTTCGAGTGGAAGTCTGAACCATTTCACTGAATTAAACGTGTGTAATCTGTCTTAAGACACTAACTCAGGTCAATTCTGGGGTCAACAGTGGCAAAAAAAAAGTATAAATAAAAAGCTCAAAACAAGTTTGAAGTTATTCTTATACCTCACATGTATTACAAATACTGATAGCAGTATTTATAAAAGGTATGAGCTACTAACTATGACACAGACAAAAACGTGTAAAATGCAATTTGTAGTCTGTTAAGAAAATCTAAATAGATTAAATAAAGCCCTATGTGATTAAATTAATTTTAAAAAATTGCAACTTGACTTTTAAATAAAGTTATAAACACATTTTAAATGGCTGATGTTTTCAAATTTGCTGATTTTTTATTTATTTTTTTGTATTATTATTAATTTGAAGGGGAAAAGCTGTTTGGAATAGAAATCTTATCAGAAACTTTTTGACGTAAAACTAAATAAAATAAAATAACATTTTGTTATTTATCCTGGGGCAACATTTAAAAAAAAAAATGCCACTCAAAAGCATTCAGTGGTTTTCACATTTTTATTTCTTTCTATTTGTTTTTTATGTTGATGTGAATTAATTACCGGTAACTAACTTTAAATATTAGTTTTACAACAGCGACCATTTTTTTACCGTCTCAATTGTATAACGGGCATCTAAACAATAATCTGTTGCATAACCCATCAAAAACTAGAGACACTTTCTACCCATGTTGCATCAGTTCTTTGTAAATTGAAAGTTAATAGGAAATTCAACAACATTTTCAGTTTCCTCTCTTACAGAAAGTGGTTGGACTTCTTATGGATGCACTCTGGTAGCGTTACAATAATGTAGAACACTTGAGCAGTTATCAGTGCGGAGTCTCACCATGCAGGCTGTGCTCCATATGTCGGCTGGTGTGTTGTATCCAGAACCAATGAGAACCTCTAAAGACCGGTACTGTCGCGTCTGGATGTCTTCTGTAAAGTGCTTGTGCTTAAAAAGACAAAGACAAAAAAAAAAGACAAAAATAACAAATCCTAACAACAAAATTTACTTTTTCCACTGTAAAAATATATATTTTATGAGCGAGAAGAAAAAAGCATGAGAAATATATTTCGAAGCTGATTATTCTGAAAGGTTTATTAAACGCTGAGCTAAAACCAATGCAGCATAAACAAAAAAAATGCCCAAGCAGTTTATTGATGTTAGTATTCAGATAATATATAGCTGCAAGGCTGGGAAATCCCTCGTCATTAGCTACTCACCACCCAGCATGCATTTCCCAAATCTGCAATCTTGACCTTGATCTTGTCTGAATTTATTGGGTCGAGAGGGTTAACCAGCAGAGATCCTGCAGTTAACTTGCCTACATCAGAAAAGAAAAACAGGTAAGAGAAAAAACAATAAAAAGGCACAAAATTTTCATTATTTCAGCCACACAGCTGATGACTTCCTTCATTTTAAAGTGGCACAAATGGAGCATACAACATTTTGCACATATACCGATTTTAAAAGACTGACCATTTCTCAGGCTCTCTGGGATTCCATGACACTCAGTCTCATCTTCCTCCTGCAAAATACTTTGCTCCAGCTCTCCATCCTCCAGCCCATCAGGAAGACGTCTTTCAGTAACTTCACTGCCGTGAGCCCCACTGTCTTCAGTCTCGGGGTCTGGCCCATTGAAATCCGTAGAGTCCACGCCGTTGCACAGAGGGTAGATGAGGGACTCTTTATGTTGTTCCTCTGGAGACTCTGCGTTGCCATTGTGTTGGTCTTCATTCCTAAACTTGGGCTGCCTCTGCTCCACCTCTGCGTTGCCGTTACAGTTGGTCTCTGACAGCTCGTCTGGTCCCAGTCTCATGTAATTTTCATTTACACCATCTGAAATGTTTGGGAAAGGGTAAACTACATAAGACACTGCTGTCTTCATTCTGTGGCAGCCCTTTAACAAACAGCCATGGAAATTCAAGAAACGGCATTCTTAAACATTAACCACTTAATAAGCTCCAGGACAATCAGCGATGTTACTGATATTTATTACACAAGTGACTGAGGTTTGTTTACAAGCTTTCAGTACTAACGTCACAAAACATGATCTACCATAAATAGATGTGTGAACCCAAAGCAGTCGAATAAAAAACAAAATACTTTTCATCTTTACCCATAAACCCTGAGAGGTTCTTACCTACGGTTTCCTTGTTTTCTAGCTCCTGAAGAGACACTTGTCTGAGAGGAGCACAAGCTCGCCCCTTTGGAGACTGTGGGTCATTTTCTTCCTCATCGTCCACTCGAGTCTCTGTGGTCTTTTCCATCTCTTCCAGGTCCATAATGCACTTTTCTAGCAGCTCTGCCTGACGCTTCTGTTTCTTTTTTAACTTCTTCTTCTTGTTTTTTGACATTTTCACAGTCTAAAAGAGATGTAACAGAGGAGAAAATGAAAGAAACAGAAAGTGGTAAGTTGAATATTTGTTCTATTTCATCCCTCCTGACCGCCAGAGGGCGGTGCTGAAAGCACTGAATGTTCCCTTTGCGCATGCGCTGATTCGAGTAATAATACCAACGGAGTCACAGGTGTGACACGGATGACCAATCAGAGGCTATATAGCCTGACGTCATCCGCTGCTCTGCTCCCATTTTCTTCTCGCGCGCGGTTCAATTCAGGGCTTCAGCCCTTTGGACCTTTTCTGAACTTTTTACCGTCGTCGGAAGCTCGACTGCCCGTCTGCGGGAGTAGCGTGTTCGCCCTCCTAGGGCTGCGACGGTTTAACCCTGTTCAAAGGTATTTCTGCTGTTTTGTTGGGAACTACGGCGGTTTCCGCCTCTCCCAAATTACTGCGTCTGACTACTATGTGTGTGATTCAACACCGGTGAGTAGTTTTCCTTATATTTCGCCGTTGGTTAGCGGTAGCGTTCGCTCCGCTCACGCTTGTTGGGAGACCTCCAACCGCGTGGTCGGCTGGACTGTGCTCCGACGTTGTTTATGACTACTATGTGTGTGATTTAACACTGGTGAGTAGTGGTTTTTTGCTTATATTTTGCTGTTGGTTAGCGGTAGCGTTCGCTCCGCTCCTGTTTACTGGAGGCCTCCAACCGCGTGGTCGGTTGGACCGTGCTCCGAAGTTTGTTTATTACGTAGCCAGCTGAGTTCCTGGCCTTGTTTTATTTGGTGAAGGCGAGTGTTCTCACCCCCTCAATTGTCCTCTTACCAGCTGAGCTAGTGGTGCTAGCCTCTCTGAGTTCTAACCTTGTTTTCATTGGTGAAGGCGAGTGTTCTCACCC